TCCACTTGGGTATAGAGACCCTGTTTTGCTGTTAATTGATAATGTGTGAGCTGTGGAGGCAGCTTCAATGGTTTTACTGTTCCAGAAATGTTCATCTCATTCATAAAGATCATCTGTTCAAGGGCAGTCAACTCTGGGCTTTTGTTCTCTTTACTGGCTTTATTTTGGGCAATGTGCTGACTTGCCTACAAGCTCTTGAACTACAGGCCATTCAAATAGTTTCCCTCTGGTGTGTTAAGTTCTTGAGTTCACATGAGCCTGCTCACTAAAATTTTGAGAGTATTAAGCCAGTTCTCAACACCAGAGTCTTGGCACTTGAGCTGACACTCCATGGTGCTGAGCAGTCACAGTCACACACTGCTTTGAGTCCAAAGCAGTGATACTTTCTGAGCTTCAAAATCAGCTGTGTAAGCCAAATCAGTAGGGTTTGTTGTGGTTTCATTGTACTGTTGTGGTTTTTGGTTTGTTTTTTTTTTTTTTTCTAACAGGGAACTGCTTGTTTCTAGCATCTTTCCTCCCATATTTCCCCATTTGGGGAGTGGGTGGATGCTCCCTCGACTACAGGCAGATAAGGAGGGGATGTTGTGGTTATTCAGGCAAAGATACTCATCAGACTTAAAGCTGCAAGGGAATTTCTCCTAGTCAGAGGCTTACCCAACATTTCTGGGAAGGAATGAGGCTCTTGCTTTTTGTTTAGATAATTTGCCTCCTTTTTTAAGATTACTTACTCCTACCTTAGACACAGAAATTTGAGTGACTCAAAACAGGGAAGGGAAAACTGATAGGGCTTTTCAAAGATAAGAGAGGTTCCCAGATCCCTTTGACCATCTAAGAGAAGTAGTTTCTTCTAAAAATCCTACCCTTAAAACTAGATAAAAATTAATTTATTAAGCAATAGCAACAACAAAAACAACCCAAAACTAAAAACACAGACAACCCAAAAACTTGTCAATTCCAAAGACAGACCAAAATTGATGTTGCCAGTCTTTGCAGATAGAGCCTGTAAAGTGATATAATTTATGATCTCATGTGACTACACTGCCACTGGATACAGCAGCATTTCAGTGCCATTATGCTGTGATGTTTAGATATATGAAGCATAATATGTATAACATAAAAACTCCCCTAGGGTTTAGATGACAAAGGATTATTAGATGCAAACTGAATCCATGAGAGAAGCAGTAATTCTAGGTCACTCTTCAAATGTGTTGTCAGGAATTCACATTAAGCTTTGATGAAGAATATGTCCACTGATTTGGCAAAATATCTCTCAGGATCATAGACTGAGTATATCCAGAAGAAATCATATTCAGTAGGTTGGACTGAGAAATCAGTAAAACTCCTTTGAGTGTCCAAAGGAACTGTGGATTATTTAATCCACCATCATCAAAGGATCAGATTCCATAATTATTACGGGAGCAATGAAATGAATCCTTTTCTTTTGGTCAAATTAACTTTGTGGCTGGTTTGGTATCCCATGCCCTAGCCAGTTTTCCAGGATAAAAACAGAACAACAAAAACTGGCAAGGTGGGTGCAGCAGGGATTGGTGGCCTGAACCTCATAAAACGTGTGAAGAACAGAATGTAAAGCTGTCAGTTAGATCTTCTAATAGCTTTTAAACCTTACTGTATTTTATTACAGATCTAAAATTGGCCTGGTTTTCAGGCCTGGATCTTTTTCAAGATGTTCTTACTGGAGCCCAACCTTCTCTAAGCCAGCAGGGCTGAGTTCTCAGCATGGAACGATGGAAATGGTGTTGGAGCATCTGACACATTTCTGCTCCAAGGACTACCAGTCCTCTCAGATGGTAAATTTACATTCTTTATTGACTTGTAGGGTTTTGAAATGTTCTATATAGCTGTGTTTAAGCTGACATTGTGGACAGTTATGGCAGAACATTAGAAGATTTGTCTTGGTGGGAACTCAGTGAGGTGGATGGTGAGGGATGTGTGCTTTCCCATCTGAAATTGGTGTATGAAGAGATTGAGGTGGAAGCAGTTACTTAAAAAACTAGCTACCATAAAACTCACCTTTCTGTAGTTACTACAGAGCAGCCTGCAGAAGTGGTACACGTGAAAGCAGATGTGCTGAAAAATCCCAGCAACAGCCAAGACTGAACATGTGAGCTTTATGTGGGAACTTGAGTTACACTTTACATTGCAATGTTAGAGGAAGAAGAGTACTTGATAACAAGTACAGCAGAATTTCTGGCTTTAGTTTTTAGTTCTGCCACTTGGTCACTGTGTAACCTTGGGGAAGTCATTGAGGATGGCATCTGCAGAAGGATCCAGCAATGCTGTCTTTCATCCCAGAGACACCTACCATACAATCCAAGAAATGCCTCTTTTTTTTTTCTGTCTGAAAGAGTCTCAGCTCTAAAAACCTGAGGTTTGCTCATTTAAAACTTCCTGAAAAGATTGAGTGGCAAGCTCCCCTTGCCATGAATGATTGAGCCTCCCTTCCCCAAGCACTGCTCACAGCCTGGATATGGGGCAGGGACAGTGGGGCTGGGCTTCCTCTGTCCTGCTGAGTCACTTCACCCAGTGTGTATTTCAGACATTTCAAGTGCAGGTTCATTGCTTCTCTGGATCCCCCATCCCTGGAAGTGTTTGAGGCTGGGTTGGATGGAGCTTTGAGCAACCTGGACTAGTGGAAGGTGTCCCTGCCCATGGCAGGGGGTTGGAACTTCTAATCTTTAAGATCCCTTCCAACCCAAACTGCTCTTTTCTTGCTGGGATCACTCTTGTCCTTGCCACCCAGGCAGTGGCTTAGTGGTTCAGTACATGGGGAGTGGATGAGGTGGGAATAAGGAGCTGAAGGAAGCGGCCCTACTAGGGAAATAAAGCAATTAACTGGAACTGTGATGAAGATTTGATTGAAATGCACCTTTTGGTTCCATGTCTCCTGTTGGTTTTGTGAATGTTATTCTGAGACACCCTCCTATAATCATAGAATTGTTAAGGTTGGAAAAGACCTCCAAGATGCTCAAATCCAACTGTTATCCAGCACTGCCATATAACCACTAAACCACGTCCCCAAGTGCCTTATCCATGTGTTTTGTGACCGCTTCCCTGAGCAGCCTGTTCCAGTGCCTGACAATCCTTTCAGTGAAGAAATTTTTTCTAATATCCCATCTGAACCTACCCTGGCACAACTTGAGGCCATTTCCTCTCGTCAGTTGTGGCTTGGGAGCAGAGCCCGACTCCCACTTTGCTACAGTCTCCTCCCACTGAGTTGTAGAGAGCCAGAGGGTCCCCCCTGAGCATCCTTTTCTCCAGGCTGAGCCCTCCCAGCTCCCTCAGCCGCCTCTCATCAGACTTGTGCTCCATTCCCAGCTTCATTCCCTTCTCTGCACTCACTCTAGCCCCTCAATGTCTTTCTTGTAGTGAGGGACAAGTCAGAGCCCTAACCGGGCACTGTGTCACTGTCTGTCCTGGTGCTGAGCCCCCGTGCAGTCCAAGGCATGGCTTGGTGCCTTGATTTGAGATAATCCATCTCCCAGGGGCCGGGCTGGTGCAGGTGTGCACAGCGAGGGGAATGTGTGCAGCTCTGCATGTGTCAGGATGAGCAGGAACACGGGCTCCGGGGCTTGTAAGGGATCCTGGCAGCGTGGGGAGGGACCTGCGACACTGAGAGCCTCCCCAGAGCCAAGAGTTGCTATAATAGGGCTGGATTACTCACTGTGCTTATTCAAATTCCTGGCAGCGGGAGTTTTTCCCGAACGGCCACCAACAATAAGTCACCTCCAGGTGTTTTGATTCGAATTTATTTATTTATTTATTCAAATTTCAAAAAGAAACCGATCCCCGGTTCGCTCCGTGCCGCGCCCCCGGAGCGTCCGTCCGTCCATCCATCCATCCATGCATTTATCCATCCATCCATCCATTCTCCGGAGCATCCATCGCTCCGGACCCCTCCGCCGCTCCTCCCCCTGCGGAGAGAGGGTGAGATTTATTTCTTTCTTTAATTTAATTATTTAATTTTTTAGTGTTGTCGCTGCTGGGAGCGGGCAGGGCCAATCGGGGCCCGCCCTGCCCGCTCGGTGCCGGGCAGCCGCCGCCTCCCTCCCGCCCTGCTGGTCGCGGCCCCCCCGGGATGCCCGAGCCCGCTCCACTGCGGGAGGGACCCTGAGCTGCCGCCTGCTGCTTTCCCTTCCCTCTCGCCGCTGAATCGCTTTCATTTTTAATCGCTTTTCCCACCCCCCATTCCCCCTCCCGCCTTCCAGGATTTTATGCTCAGCACTGGGGGAGCCGGGAAATTTTGTGGCCGCTGACATATTTTGATTTAAAAAATCGCTGTCAGCGGACGTTTCTCCTTCTGCTCCGGCAGCGTTGTCCTGTTCACAGCTATTTAGGCTTAAGAAGCTTGATTCTCTAAGGCTTGTATCCAAGGGCATCAGTCATTAACACACTGAGCTACATCTGCTTCTTGGCTAAGACTGAAGAAGGACATCTTAAGCTGGAAATCCTGCTCGCTCACTCTCTAGTGCTTACGGAAGGGGAAGCATATGCAGCAGCAGGTTCCTTTTTTTTTTTTTTTTTTTTTCCTCCCAAAGGCTGCCTCACTTTGGAGATGCAGTGACAAGATAATGGAGTGAAAGTCTTTCATTTCCAGGCAAGAAAATTGCAGGAGTCAGATAGAGAAAGGAAGAAGCAAGTTACATAGCAGAAATAGGAAAGAGGACAGTGGTAAGGAACTGAAAATAAAATTAGAGGAAACAGGTGGAAGGCTAGTATAAAGCTGGGAGATATTTTAGACTGAAAGTGGTGTATTTTTGCTTCTTTTTTTTTCTTTTTTCCTTTCTCTTTTTTTTTTTTAATTTTTTTAAATTGGTTTTATTGTTGATTTTAAATTCTAAGCTGATTTTGGAGATCTCTGCAGTGACCAGGCTGCTTTAGAGCAGAACAGCTTCCCCAACGTGTCATTTTCTCTCTCCCTGCCTGCTGTCTCTGCTCTTGCTGCTGCTGACAGAAACGTGTTAGGAAAGCAGAAAGAGAAAATGCCAGCCATCCTGGTAGCCTCCAAAATGAAATCGGGACTACCTAAACCCGTCCACAGCGCTGCTCCAATCCTGCATGTCCCGACAGCCAGGACCATCCCACAGCCCTGTTACCTGAAGTTTGGGAACAAGGTGGAGGTGACGAAGCCATTGTATTCCAGCCAGATTCCTCTCAAATCATCCAACGGACAAGAAAACGCGGGAGACGGCCTCCCAGCAAGGAAGAGTAGCTCGCTAGAAAATGGATTTGACACACAGGTTAGCAGGCACCAAATGCTGGGGAGGTGTATGCAAGAATTTATGTCTGTGTGGAGTGTGCAGCAGGTTTTCTGGGATAAATAGCATGGAATTGCAGGGAAGGGATGTGTGTGTGTATGTGTGTGTGTGCCAACATCTGTCTGCAGTGGTGGGATGTTTTATATTCCACACAGTGGCATGTGTAATTCTGTCAGCATGATGGAGCTGATGGTGGGGTGCTGAGGGATGGGGCTGCGTGTGCTGCTTGCCTGTGCTGCCTTCTCCATCCCCTCTGCTTGAACCGGGGGGGATTTACAGGAGGGAGATGGTAGAGATGTTGTTTGTGGGGTGTGTTCTTTGTGTGCTTTCTGTAGGTGCTAAGTGTAAGGGCTGGCTCGTGTGCCTGGGCTGGGGGAGGATTGCTGGTTGTCATTAATGTGTTTTGTGTTGGGTCGTGTGCTGTACCAGAGCACTAGTTGTGTGAACGTTCTGTGGGGAGTGAATGGGAGGCAGTGCTTGATGCTGGATTACAATGTGCATGTCATTCAGTGCATTTGAATTAAACAGATTATGGAGGAAATGAACACTTAAGTAGAATTGCCTGTATAATGCTATACATGCATGACATCATAGATGCAGCACATCATCAATATACACATTTTAGGTTTCCCTTTAATCTGTGTCAGCCTTCTAATGTATTTTTATATGTGCTGCTTGCTGTATAGGGAGGAGAGATGCTCAACTGGTTCAATTTCTGTGGTTGTCCGGGGTTGTCAGTGTGGCTGGGGCTCCCCTGGGCTGCCGTGCCCTGGTGAGCTTTGCAGCAGCGTGGGCACAGCGTGTGTGTGACTGTGCTAGGGAGGGAGCAGAGCAGATGGGCTGCTGCAGCAAGCACAATTGATTGCTGTGCTCCAGAGATGGCTGTACAGCCCTGGGATGTATTTTGGCAACAGCCATAAACGTTACACGCTGCTTCTGCCAGTATCTGAGCCCGGTGGAAGGTGATACCACTATACTGAGAGAGGGAAATGATGACAGAGACTCACTAGGTTTTTTTCCTTCTTTGAGAAATAATGGATCATCCCTCCTACCACCTAGATTGTGAAGTGTGTGGCCTGGTAACCCTATTCCCTTCAGACAAGTGTGCCTACTGATGGGGTGTGTTTGACCGCATGCCCTGATTTCAGGATGTGCTGCACTTTCCTTGCTGGTAGACAGGGTGACGTATTGGGCTGCTCAGGCCAGACAGATATGACTGGAGCAGTTCCTGAGGGACTGAGAGCAGGAACAGGAGACAGCCAAGCAGGGATGCAGGGAAGTGGCAGCAGACAGACCAACCTGTGCATCACGTCTTGCCCTTCCAAGATAATCAAGTGCTCTCTCTCACTCGCGCCCGAGTCTGTCCCTGTGATTATGAAACGTCAGCAAAATCTCATTATCTGCTGCCCTTTCTCTCACACGTGCCAGGGTTTCTGCATGGAAATCTACATTGCTGAAAAAGTGGTTGCTATTCAGAAATACTCTCTCATCTTGTAACAAACAGATTATGCTCACAGAGATCTGCCAGTGGGAGCCTTTGCAGCACTAAGGGCAACACTATGGTGGTTTTAACCCTTACAAGGACGTGGAACAAACCCCATTTTTTGTAGCCTGATGATGAAAGGGTCTTGATGCTAACTTGTTATATTTGACCAGGGAAAGATTTTGGCTAAGGAAATGTCAGATAATTTTACATTTTTAATTTCTTCAGCAGCAGGAGAAATCTTAAGCTTTGCATTCTCAGTAATCTCCTCTGGCTGGCAGTCTGAGCAGATGACCAGCACCTTTTAAGGTGTGAACCAGTGAGGCTTTTTCCACTACCTATTATTCTTGAATAAACACAGTCTTTTTTTGTTGTTGTTGTTTTTTTATTGTTGTTCAGCAATTTTGCTGATCCTTTGAGCTTTGATCCTTCTGCCCACAAAAGCAGGCAGGGTTTTGCCATTCAAGGTGATCGTTTGGAATGGCAGTCTGTATCCAGAGGGAGATTTTTCCAGATGTGTTGTGTCAAGGGCACTGTTCATTCCTTTTCCTACTGTTCCTCCCTGCCAAGGGAGGAGGAACAGGATGGATGGACAGCTGCCAGCTGATAGGTCAGCAGCTGAAGCTTTTATCTTGGAAGACCTTCAGCTACATTCAGGTGCAAAAGTGCTTTCTGATAATAACCATGGTAAGGTTTAGACTTGAACACTGCACCAGGTCTGAATAGCTTGAGAATCTGAGGGTGACCACTTTGCTCCTCTGGGGGGTTTATCTGAAGCACCAATGTGACCCTCACCATCTTATTGGGCAGGCACCTGGCAATACCTGTGATATTCTTACAGTAGAATTTATAGTTTAGATCCACAAGATGGACCATTGCCCAGTGTTCTGGCTCCTATCCTCTGTAGATCTTGGTCCCTCTGCAGAATTTTCAGCCCACAAGAAAGGATATCCTCCTGTGTGGGTGGAGGGAGAACGAGAGAGAGATTGTGTCACTTGGACTAATTCTCTTGGTTCTGAGAGTATTTCAGGGAGGTGTTCTTAATCCCGTTGAAGTGAGTCCTTTTTGCACTACATAATACAAAATTTAGTGGCTTATTGGACTGATAATTCTGCTGAAGAGTCTAGAGCATAGTCCAGAAGCCAGCATATGAGGATACCATGTTCTCGTGCTGGGTTAGCATGTTTCAAGCCACTTACACACCACTGCAAAGCTTCATGAGCTTTTTTGGTGCCAGGTGGTACCTTTCTAGAACCTGAGAACATGAGCACTGCAGGTGGTATTCATTAAAGCACCAATTTAAAAACAAAAACCTGCTGAAATTCAAGATGTCCCACTCACAAATGTGGTATCAGTGAAAACTTCTAAAGGTTTAGCTGATTTTATTCCTCTTGATATGGTTTTACGTGGGTTAGCTGGATTTTATATAACTGGAAGTTTTGTGCCTTAAGGCTTTATAAGGGCAGTGTGTTTTTTAAAATGCTGTGCAATTTATAAAAAGCACACTTCAGAGTATTTCAGGGGCACTTTCCAAAGAAAGGTCTGAGAATTTTAGCATCAAGCCCATTGTAAATGCTAGTCGGAAATCTTAGGTGGATGAATCATGGCAGTATCATTCCTGTTTTACTGTTACTGATATACACACTCTATTTTTCCATATTAAATCCCCTGTGTTGTGCACAACAGTATCTGACTGTTGCACTGGTGCTTATTTTGTCTAATTTGAAAACACCGCCAATAAATTGTACTACCCATATTTAGAGAGGATTGTTTTGGAAATATTTAACTTTGTTACCAGAGAAACTTCTGTCGAGTAGATAGCAAGATTCTCATCTCTCATCTACAGAATGGTGTTTCTCAGTGATTCTGAGAAAGTTGGATGCATTTGGCTACTAAATTTGCATTAGTTATTTAAGAAAGAAATCATTACCCATTAGGAGTCCCTGGTTGTGGTTAATTGTTCATGCAGATGCAAGAAGGAAGATGCCATTGTGAATGTCACTGAAGGAGATCCCGGATTTCATTACTGTATTTATTGCTGCTATGTTGTATTCTCCAAATTCTTGATTTTCTTTCTCCAGAGAACCTAAAAAATAAAATAAAATAATCACTGTTTGTACCTTCAGTACCTGAAGCAGCACTGAAGGCACCCGGACATTGCTAAATGGTTGGTCCCACCCTTGCACTAAAACACTTGCAAGTTAAGAGACATCTGTTTAACCTGGGTTTGAAGTATGTGTGTTCAGCAATTACCTGTAATTGTGCTTTGTTTGGCTGGGAGGGGAGGGGCTAGGAATTGGTATTTCTTTGTAAACTTCTTTGCAATATTCATTTGCTGAAAGATCTTCTGGTGGACATGGCAAGCAGGTGCTGACAGAGTGTGATGTTCTCCCTCACTTTTCTCTTTCACTGCACTAGGCAAAGCCTAGGATTTCTACAACTCTTGCAACTCCTTATGCTGTCTACAGAACTCTTTATTTTCCCTAGACCCTTTTTAAAAAATAATTCCATTTAAAACTGGTTAGATTTTGTCTGAAATCAAGCTACCTCACTCAGCTAGATTTTTCTTCATATTGCTTTCCCAGTTTGTGAAGATCTTGTTGAGTTTGGCAGCCCGGATCTGAGGTGGTCTAGTTCTAGGGTGTTCTAGATGTCCCTATTTTCTAGTCTTACACTAGATTTTTCTTCATATTGCTTTCCCAGTTTGTGAAGATCTTGTTGAGTTTGGCAGCCTGGATCTGGGGTGGTCTAGTTCTGGGGTGTTCTAGATATTTTCTAGATTTTTTTACCTAGTGATTCTTTCCTAATTTTTCAAGACTATCTACACTTGGGTTGTGTTCCAGGAGCGTTTGCCACACCTGTTGAGGTTAAAAACATCTCTGTTTTTTGCCTCATTTCCCATTGGGTAGTCCAAGTAATGAGAAGAGTATGGCAGCTCTGTTACAGCTCCCTGATAGAAATGGAGTGGACAGCCATTCCCAGGTTGGTGGCACACTGCTGGCACATCCCAGGGAGTTCAGTCAACGGCTCTCAAACAGGTTAACTTAACAGGTTCCTCCAGTATTTTCCCACACCTCAGAGTTAGGCTCACATCAGATGTTTGATGAGCCACATGTGACCCATGATCTGTGGGCTCTTGGTTTCTCTTCTCTGCCTCACTCCCCTTGTGCCCATGCCATTAGCAATCCAAATGAAGCCACACAGTTCAGATATGAGTAATTATTTTTCTGTATTTTAATTAACTCTACTGTTTAAACCTCCATATCACTATCTTGCCAATGTGAAGCTTCACAGACAGGAGGATTAATGGAGCATATTGCAGAGAAATGATGCCTTCCCTTCTCACGTGCATTAGCCATTTTTGTGTGTGTTTCACAGTTCTCATGCCAAACCAGCTTGCAGAAGGGATAGGGATCAAGCAAATCTTTATCTGGACCCAATTTAAAGTCAGATGAACATCAACTGGTTTCAGTGCCATTGCATGAGCTGCCTCAGTCGT